TTTTCTTCACACTTCCATCCTCTTTACACTACACATGTTGCCCAAGGTGGTTAGTAAGAAATTATTTTAATTTATGTCTACCTACAGATTTGGCAAGTGCTGCTAGGTTATTTGTCAAGAAGCAGTTAAGGTAAACAGTAGGTAAATGATTTGTTAACAGTTTGTTAACCTTTAATGTTTATTCCTGTGTTCAGTGACAGATTCTGTATGTAAGTCTCAGCTGACAGAGATCCACCAGCTTACAGGAAGAAGAGTGAGGTAACACCAGCATAGTGACGCTTTGCTCATTATGCCATGGCATGCTAGACACTGCCAAGCCTAGCCTAAGAAAGAAAAAGACTATTCGTTTTCATTCCCTTAATGACTCCACGCCTGTAAGAAACATGCTGGGCTGCTTTACTGGTTTTTAACAGCCTGGAAATGAAAACCTGCTGTTTAAACGCAATATTGCAAAAGAGCTTTCAAGGAAGGAGGAGGTCCAAGTCACTGACTCACAAAACAATGAGGTTTACAGGCTAAAAAACTGTGATCTCATTTCTTTTTGAAAGGGCCAATCCCTGATTGTGATCAAATGTGCCACTCCTCAAATCCAGTTAAACTACATAAAGATGAAGGGATCAAGGAACGCAAAAAAATATTTTTTCAAACGGTGTTGCAGTTAATCTCAGCAAGGAATGAAATCCTATGACCTCCACAAATAGTGACTGGATTTTCATTTAAAATCAGCAAGAAAAAGAATCATTGAGAGATGCGAGAATCTTAGAAAGAGAGCGGTCTTTCACTGCAGAAGGATGGACTCCAGTTTAAAGGCAGTTTCATGTTCATTCTGTTCAAACACTGCTTTGTACAGGAAGCCAATTCTACCAAACTTAATGCAGACATAGGAATTACCTATTGTTTAAGTATTTACTGGATTTTATTATTTATCTCCTGCATCGTGACAAACAAACTATCCACAGTGGATTCTGCATCTCGATGACTGGACTATGCAAGAATTTTAGTTTAATTACAAATTTTCTAACTACGTGTTGAATATGAATAGAGAAAGACGGTCAGCTGTCAGGCCACAGGTCTACCTGGGGGTAGACTGGGTGTTTTGGTTGCTGGCCTGCTTCTGTAGGGGTTGTGGTCTGGGGTGGCTCGGGCCTCTCAGTTGCATGGTGGGCACTCCGCTGGCTGTGAGGCAGTTCTTGGGTCTGGGGCCCCATCCTTGGCTTGTGCTGGGTTGCCGGCCTGTCTGCTGCCTCTGGTTCCCTGGCACTCCTGCCCTTGCCTGTGGGAGCTCTGTCCAGCTTCCCTCTCCCCCTGCTGGGGTGGACGCACATGTGTCATTGGGATGTGTGGCCTCAGGTTTTCAATGCTTTTATGGAGTCGTGGATGCTGGGGCCTCCAAGGGATGCTGCTATGACTTAGAAAGTAGCTAATGTAGATTAGATCACAAAAGAGATACAAGTCTGGTGTTATATTGGTAATTGCCAGCCAAGAAGCTGATGCACTTTATTATATTTATTGGGTAAAGATTTTTATTGATATTCTGGTCTTCATTGTTAGTTTACAGTCCAGCTTCAGTAAAAGCAAGTCAAATTAACATTTACTGTCAATGGCCAACATTGACAGGTAAGAGTAGACCATATTCACCTTTTGCTTTTTATTAGGTTGCAAATTCTATTTATTTCTTTGTTACGTTTAACTTTTGAGTGATAGCACAAACACAGAGAGAGGAGGATGGGGGGGGGGTGGAGAAAGGGAGAGAGTAGTATGAAGAAAGCAAAGAGAGAGAAAGTTAAAAGAAACAGGTAAGATAGGACACGTAGCCAAAGTCAACAAAACGTTATAAAGCTTCTGTCT